TTACACGTCCAAGACACATACGGATCGATGTCATACGAAGTTCCAAAAGTCATTCACTGATCGTCCTGTCCAAGCGTATACTCTGACAGTGAAACCGCAATGCCCAATTGTGCACATAAATTGTTTCGGAATCACCATAGCTACATAAGTTCCTTGGCAAGAACACATGAAATAATATGTGGTTTACTGTAGTTCAGCAACCTTTTATGTTAGAGAACCGCCGAGCTTACATGAACTGAAACCCAGATGTGTCGTAGCATGCATTTTACTGCTATTCTTTTCCCTGTGATGATGTCTATCATGCGACAATGAGCTGGCTATCAGTAGGTGGTTAGACTGATTTTGGCCTACAGTTAAATTACAGCCATTTAGCTGGCAGAACCAACAGCGCATGATGCTAGAAAATAGAGTCACTACCAATACATTTTACAAAATTATCGTTCTTAGCACTTGAGAAGCAACAACTCAACGCATTTTAAACACGTGAATTATTCATCGCATACAGAGCTCTTCCGGAAAATTGTTCACTGGAATTATCGAAGAAGCGTAAGCTGTCAAACAGCACCATTTAATTATCTCCATTTATGGATTTATTGCACTTTTCGTTTGTTGATTTAATGTACATACGTTAATATGCTATCCAACTGTATGTCTTATTTAACACTGTGATTTACGATCCTTTAATTTTTTACAAAGTTGTTTCCTTTGTGGCTATTGTGGATTTCACTAGTGTTATGCCGAAAAATTTGACTCATTGGTGCTTTTCTTTTAGCAGTAAAACATTCCATCCTATTTTAAGTAGAACTTCATTTTTATACACCGGTTATACAAAACCGCTTCCGACTCACATGACCAGCAGGAAACGAAGTCGTTAGTATAATGATGAGCGTAGAGTATCTGCGCCCTCATAACAAATTTGAAAAAGTTTACAAAAATAGCTTACTCTATGCATCATTGAAACGGTTCGGAAGCTAGAAGACTTTCCAACCTTCTTCGCCGCTTCTAACCCTGACTTCTGAAGATCTTCTCTTGTCATATAGTCGCTCCAGATATCGAGCAGCAGTTTATTTTTCGACGTGCTTTTCATCACAGAGATGATGCATTCGTTTAAAGGGTCTTTGTTTTTCTCCAGCCAGCCAAGCACATTATATCGCACCTAAAGCGTGACTTGAAACGGATATGATACGCAGATTGTTTTCTCCTAACCGTTCCTGCATAATGAATGATGGCGAAATGAGCGTCGGCTTGGTCTTTCCTTCGAGGTTTGGCCTTCTGAAAATTTGGATGCTTCCCGAGATGCTGGTCCATCAGTTTCTGGACGAACGTCGCATCCGTGGCACGTGGCACAATGCATTCTTCATCAAGCATTGACAGAATCCCTAATGGCTATAACGACGCTACCAGTATTGAAAACACTCAAGGCACAGTTGCTGCAACGGTTCAATATAGCGATTACGTAAGTATTCGCCCCAAATTCCGTACATGACTATCATTTTAGTTAAAGCAGTTTAAACAACAGTATGCTATCAACGTAGTAATGAAAGAAAAACAACAATTATTATCAATATCTTTATTAGCCTACCGAAATCGCATCCTTGACGTGGCGGCAGGCTTAAGTTCCTCAGTGACCATGGTGGTATGTCAGCAAATGCATCAACATTTAGTAGGGTTACCCATGCTGAGGAGGTTCGAGACGAGAGACAAGAATAAGTATAATCAAGCAAGTATCCATTATGATATGTCACAATGAATATATTCCTGTATCGGATTGGTCTAGGCCCCCTTTACCACTGACCACACAGGCACTAGAGAAATTGAGGTAGTCTGCGAGAAGTGAGCGAACAGAACTTTTCATGTCTTTCCGTGCCAGGAGACGTGGTAGAATGGTGACGAGTAGTGGAACAACAATGGAAAGAAGAAAATAATGTTGTAATGAGATGTCATTATATCTCTACGAAGCACAGAAGTGGTTATCGAAAATAAATTATGGAAAAATGGACCAAGATGTAATCCCTCAGAGGAGCAAGGGAGCAATTTCTTGCGGAGAACAAATGGCTAATTGATAAAAGCATACTGTCAACAGAATCGGAGCTGGATGAGGTCTGAAGAGCGCTTGACAGTGACATGACTTGCTGAATATGTAAGTAAAATCGTTCTGGACAAAACTATGAGGCCAGTGATTGAAATGGCTTGAAGAACCCTAGAGACGTATACCTCATATGAAGAGCGAGAAAGAACTGCCAGAGTATATCAGTCAAACTAACTGTGTCGTGAGGGCGATATCAACCAGTAATTTAGAATCCATCAATGGTGTAATATATACGATAGTGCTTGTGATAGTGAAGAAACTTTGCATTAAGCTGGAAACAGATCTGAGAGGACGCGAAGAGTAATCACGGTTACGAAAAAGCAAGAACAAACAGGAGGAAATACGCCGAGAAGTAAATCTACGCCAGAACAGCCAGAGCTGCATAAGAGAACGCCAAGTAGAGGCTGTCAGCTTTATATGCAAAAACTTAATAGTTTTTCAGTTCAGATACTTCCAATGTTCTTCTTGTCCATCTCCATTGCCAAACGAAATCGCACTGAAGTCTTTTCAGATGCCATTCATTCCAGCGTAGTTTCTCACCGTGAGCAAAACATGTCGCAGGCCATCCTTCATCTTACCTCCATTTGTTGGTTTAACGTTTCTTCCTCCGCCAGTGTTCTAGAGTAGTTGGCGCAAATGGCAAGGGAAGCCATAGGCCGTATACCTGATGGTGATCTGTCTCTTGGGATTCTTAGCAGCTTCTGATCATCAAGCAAGGAACCGCCCCCGTGGAACGGGTTTAGAGACGCACAAGGTACTGACGCCCTATTATTTGTGCTGCAATAGCGCATGACGTTTGACCACCCGCTTACAGGACCGACGGTGGCCTGATAAATTTCATAGAGGCGCGCCCGACCTAACTCGATCCGGTATTTATGGAAGTTTTTCGTCTAGCCTTCGATAAGCCAACATCTAATCGCAAGCGGCAATGACATTAGCGGCCCATTCTCTTCAAAGGAAAGGGTCGCTTTCGCCTCGTTACAGACCATTGTGACGTTTTCTGTGAGGATTGAACTCGTCGAGCTATAACTCACACACACACTACTTATTTGTCATAGCCAACCTCCATATCCGAGTGTTCATTCCTCTCTATCCGCAACCGAAAGAAACGCGGGATGGCCAGCAGCTCTCCACACTGCGAGGTCACAATTACTGAAAAGAATGAGGAAGACTGAAACAGAAGAAAAACTGACAGCACAAGGCCAGAATCTCGTGCCTGCGTTCTGGCTTAAACGGTTAACGTGTTTGCACAGAAAACTGGCTGCATTCCTTCAAAGAGTGCTTGAAGAAAGACCATCTGCTTGGTTGACAAAACGAGTGACACGCCTAACCTTGAATAATTACAAAAATAGTGGTTACGGAGATGTGACTAAGTACAGAACAATTGCACGCCTTCCAACGACCGACCAATTCCTGGCGTCTGTATGATCCAGAGCAGCTTATGAGTATCTTGAGGTTGTGTTCTTAAGCAGAATCACCGTCATACTGAATCAAAGAAACCTGAGGGCCAGTTACTCATAGTCAGTTGGAATGCCTCAAAGTTTGCAGCTTCAATGACGACCCCGAAAAGAGTACTTCGACGCAGTAGTGAAAAACACTGCCATGTAATAAAGTCAGTCTGGAATCGATGATGATCATGCGAAGAATCTTGCAGGAAATTTAAACTAGTCGCTACAATTTGTCTGGCATTAAATCCGCAAGGCTATTTGCTGAAAAACACCAGAAAAGGTTCTAAGTTGAAGGTCGGCAGCGCAATATAGCACCTGTCATGCGTCAAGGACCCAAAATGCTATGCGAGTTCGGCAAATGAGCTTGATAATCTAATCCTAATCACATGAGTCTTTTCTAAAGTCATAAAAATGGAGTTCGATTAGTGAATCTATCAAATATCATTATAAGGGAAACTGCCGTTTACTCAATCCTCATTCCTGGCGTGGTCATTTCAGAATGGGAATAGGATACGGCGATGGCTATGCTGTCAGATGCGCGAGACTTTCGTGGCTGACATTGTCACTGATCCACCTCACAACCACTATCCAGTATTTTGATCAGCATTTGGTGTTAGCCCAAAGAAGTTTCCAATTATCATTGGCATTTTCTCTCATAGGTACAACATGGAGTGGGGATTTAACCATTTTCTGCTAATATTGTTCTTCATTGCCCAGGGGAATAAATTTTATGGATTAATATGCAAGGCAATTCCACTGCATAAACGTTTGACCATTCATACGTTGGTATTATAATTTCTCTCATAATTCTTCGAGCCCAATAATGCCCGTGTTTTACCCTTATGTAAAAGACCAGATGCACTGCGTACATAAATATTCGATGTAAGAATCGGTCGAAACTTAGTCTCAAAGGTTTAATTCTCAAATAGTCTGTTGTCACGTTAAGAGTTAAGTTGCAAATATAGGCATGTCTTTTAATCTGTCAATGCAATGAGGTAAAAATAAGAATAAGCGCGAGAGGTTTTGGCAGATATCTGGCAAGCTGTATGCTAGGTGAAATTTGAAGGCATTAAATAGCTAGTGATTCTAGTGATGTTCTGCAGAAACACTTAGCGCCAACATCGCTCAGTAACCTCTAAAATCCCTTATAACAACCTAATCGTCAGGGAAGTTTACGAGATACGGGTTTATCGTTCTGATAAACTGCGAAATCAGCAAAGGGATTTTTGTTTAAACGTAATATCAAAAGTAAAGGATAAGAACGTAAAAAAGTGTACCTTTTCAATCAAGTCGATACAAGCCTGCAAATCCAAACCGAAGTCGATGAATTCCCACGCAATCTTTTCCTTCCGGTATTCCTCTTGTTCCAGTACGAACATGTGGTGATTAAAGTACTGCTGCAATTTTTCGTTGACAAAATTAATCCACAGCTGCTCGAACGAATTGCAATTGAAGATCTCGAATCCGGCAATGTCTAACACTCCAATGAAGTACTTCTTCAGTCGGTCAGACACGTCCAAAGACTTGTTGCACCTCGTCACTAGCCACAGGAACATACGAGAATAAATAGCTTTAGCAAGAGCTCCAACAGCCCATGTTACCTAAATATAAAATTTTGTTTCAGAACATCCGTTTCCTCATGACTATATAAAACGTTTTAACTACACTCGAGAGTCCAAAAAGCGTACAGCCTTCATTTTTGAAACAGATAAATAGAAAATTAAGCTTCTCTTCATTTAAGATATTATTGATTCTTCCAACACATTCATCTTCACGATTTTCAAAACGCCAATACACTCTTGGAGGCATTGCATTGTTCCTGAAGCACACCTCGCGTTATGTTTCAAAATATAATTAAGAATATTAGACTTATTAATCAATGACATTGCTCAAAATCTGCTATTCTATCTAAAGAGTTTGATTCTTGAATAAGATGTTAAACAAAATGGATATCTAATCTGCTATATTAATTCCAGCTTTAGTATCGTGACTGTAGCTCCATACCGAAGTTCAAATACTTGTCATCATTAACCATTTAATCCCATGATCTCTCCGCATTCAAAAGTCACCTAAGGAAACAAGGCTTCAGAGATCTTTACAAAACACACAATCTGCTGAAGTCCATTCTATACTGAACTGATTAGTCAGCAACCACAAACCTATGCTTCTTATGAAATGAATCGCAAAAATATTGACTGAATTTATATTGGTGAAATATGCAGAACCCTTAACGTATGAAAGGGCGGCAAGATGACATTAGACGGAATCATCTAGAACATTTCAGAATCGTAGCGAATTCCTTAGCATGCAAACGTGTGTTCATTTCTCAAGAAATCATGTTTCTTGACCGTGAGAGAAACTTTAAACAGAGTTATTCGTCCCTACATATCTTACTGAACGAACGAAGGATGTTTAATAACTACACCAGATCCTTGACACTGTTCTGTTTGAAAATTCATGATTAGAACTTCATGTTGCTTTTTGATTTATGCATGGCTTCTCGAGTTTTATCCCCCTTAGCAGTGGTAACCGTACCTCTCTTCCCGATCACTGTCCTTCTAAAATTCCTTTAAATTTGTTGCCCATATTTGCCTCCTTCTCTGGCACTACTGACTGTTTCATAAGGTTTTTGTACATTATTATCCGACTGTGTACTGTGTCATTATCATATGCGCAATATTCCCAACAGAATCGTGATTTCTGGGAATGAAGCCAAATCATGCTTTTAAAAGGGAAACTTTTGTGTGTCTCGATTAAAGCCGTTTTTCTAGGAAAAGTGAAGCACATGGCGTATTTTCGCGCTTCCTATGGTACACTCTATAGGGTTTATTTCAGCCATCGACTGACTGACTTTATCTACTATTCAGAGCTTCTACCAAAAGGCTATGTCAGTAGTACGTCCAGGTTTTCGTTAATTACCTTCCTCGTTATCTTTTACATTGAACCTCAGTAGAAGACTTTGAGCGCTTAGTGTAAGTATCTTTACTTAGCCACTCACACTACTGGATAACTAGGCTTAAAGAAGGACTCATTCCTTGTTGTGGAGATACTCGTACCGTACGACAGAAATGAACGTCAGTCATGTCAGTAAGCATGTGAAAGGACGATGAATGGTATGCAGATTAATACATGATGCAGCAAACCCGGTGCACAGGGGAAGACACGTCTTATTCTACAAGAATGAGATAGTACTACCTTCTAACCTGATTTAAATTCTGGCTTCTGTTCATCCATCCTGAGCCAACTTTCACTTGAGGCTGCAACAGAGCCTTCAAGAACGCGGTGGAGTCCATTTCCAACAGTTTGCAAACTAGTTCTACTTCTAAAATAATGCAAGTTATGTACAACAAACACCGTTTATCTGAATTGAAACTCAAACCCTCAGTGCCATCGGTTTCGGCTTGTTCTTCCCTCGGACGTTGTTTAAATTTCATTTCTCCCATGTGCATTATGGCAGCAGTTAGTCTGTACAGATTTTCCTTCTCCAAACTGTCGAAGCCCATCACGTCGAACGCGGCCTATGAAAACTGAGTCAAAAAGAGTCATAATTGCCATACCTCATTACATCCGTATTTTTCATTTCAATCGCATCGTCGACTCCGTCTATTTTCACTTCTGCCTGTGACACGAAACCGTATGAACTGATGTTTTTGCGAAGAAACAGTTTCTCTAAAATATGCTTTCCGTTTTGATTGCAAGTTTCTATGAGGATTTAAGCAATGACACTAGCATTAAAGTATGTACATTTAGAGAACCATGGTTTATTTTACGTAGTTTAATCATATGTGAACATTTTGTTTCCAAGCCAAAACTGCATCCACCTTGAGACATCTGCATTCAAGTAAAATAAATATACACGAGCAATTTTCACAGGTGTACCTCATTGATATAGAGCCTTTATTGAGTGTCGAAGTGGCTGCCCAAGGAGACAGCGGGTTGGGTCAACCACTGACTCATTTTAAAGCGATTCTTGAAACGCTTAAACCCTTTAGGAAAAGTGCAGCATATGGAGTGACTGAGAGTTGCTTTACAAATGCTGAGAAAATACATGAACCCGGAAATAATGCCTCCTAAAAGAGATGAGGACTTCGGCTTTAAACGCTATTGAAAACTTCATGTTTTAAATTATACTTACGTTTGAGGGAAATGGCGACTTTTTTTCGTTCTAATTAACACTTCACCTTTTCCTAATTAATAGACCAATCCAACAATCTCGCAGCGATTGGGCATTCTTGATTTACCAACATGTTTCTACATTGCATGCCGAAGTCATCTTTAGAAAAATGATTGAAAGTCATCTCTAGAGAGATTTATAACTGTATTAACCCTGCTGTTTAGCCTAACTCACAGATCCGTGAAAAATATCTTCATTGAGAGCCGAAAGACCAAAACTCTGTTATGTGGCAAAAAATCCTCGCTACAAACCTACTGAGAGACGTTGGAGGCGCCTCAGGATTTCTCCTCAAAATCCCACGATAAAACGGATGTGAATAGAGCAAAATAATCTTGTTCTACCTTATATATCATATTCTGATATTTTGATAACCGATCACTGCCTATCAATTTAGTAACACTGCCTATAGCAGATCCGATGCCGTTTGAGAAAGACTACAGTTGAAAATCTAATGACGTCTTCTAAAATATACAGACATCTGTACCCATTTACGAAGCTACAACTATAATCACTATACACTAACGCTGTTCGTCGTGATCATAAAGTACACACAGGGCTAATGGGAAACTCAGGCAACCTTTAAATGTTGGCTAAAGTCCTGCTGGATTGGACGTATTGCAGAATGACGCGAAAGAGCGAGCGAACCAAGCATTACATACATGGCATTACTCAGGAAAAAAGTCACTGGCATGCCATGAATGAAACAGGGTACAGTGTAGCAATTAGAACGGAATCCAACGGTCACGGCACCGACCGCTGAACCTTACACTCGAAGTCCAAAAGACAGTTTTTCTATAATCATCCTATTCGTCCTAAACTGCTCCAGCCGCATCGCTTTATCTCATCGCCAAATTCGTATCGGTTAAAATGTTACATCAGGCCTTCAATGGTTTTCGATGGCACTGCGTGAAATTGTCAAATTTACGACATATACTTCAGAAATACATATTCCTCCACCAGTTTCAATATTAGTTGGGCGTTGTTCAAACTTGACTTCAGATTCAAATCCGTAAGCAAGCAGTTGTGTACAGTCAGCCAGCAGAAATGTATCAGATTTCATAACTCTACGAATGACGGAATTAGAAGCTTGCCATTTATGGTAGCCACCCCGGAATATGGCAGGGTGGTAGAATATTATGTTTGTATATTTGCCTATGGATAGGCGGATTTAGTTGGTGCTCGAAAGAGTCCTTGTTCAATAAGCTTGAAGACGCAGTCTGCATCCAGTGCACTGCAGGCACTCAAATACCACGGAGTCTTAGTCTGTTTAAATGCCCCCCCCCCTTAAGCAACTGAAAGCAAATTAACAGTGTGCTTGGGCCGAGTAAATCTGGTATAAGAAACTGAACTGCTAGGGTACTGGCGGAATCAGAAAGCCCCTGTGTGGCAGCTACCTGGTATATTAGTTTAATTTCGATCCACTTACTTTATAACGTCGCCTTTTACGGCTGAAACAATTTCACAGATTTGAATTACATTTACTGCAGTTGACTCACTACAGCTGATCACCTCATTCTCGTCTCTGACAGCAGACAGCCATCAAAGTAAGCGAAAACTCGACAGAACTGCTGCAGTTCGGTTCGCCTCTGACATAGCCACTACGATAGCCATGAAAACTTGTTATGAACCTTGAAATAGTCTCATAACGAAGACATGATAGCTAATTTACTCCTAAACATAAGAACTGCCAACGAATGGCAGGGTTAATGCCGCTGTTCGATAAACTAATGAAAGAGCATTGTGCCGATGATGAAAATGAAACTGACCGACAGGTTCATAAGCAATCATGTGTTGGCAGTGGAATGAAGTGACAGCTTTGGGAGGATGGGTGCCCTGTCTCAAGGGCATCCCTCTCCCAATGGATCAAAAGAAATTTTCTCATATTGCTATGGCCAGATGAGACATCACTCTGGCCTAACTTTCTCCTGAATAAATCTTGCACTCATTGTACTCGTTGGTTTTCAACCGACAGATTAAAAACGTTGCATTCTATCGTAGTTTTCGAAAGCTCCCTGAGAAGACATTGAGTCACAAAAATTAACCTCCTGTGGTTTCCGTATCGCTGTTTCCAGTCATGCAAAATTTGCTTCGTTCACATTACAGAATAACTTACCAAACATTAGTATCAACGCACGTCATTAACTTCCAATTCGAAACATACCTTTGAGTCCTGGAATACCCCCAGACATGATTTGATAAAAGATATGGAAACTCCTTTCTCCAACCGATTGCTTGGCAACGCGAATCTTTTCCAATAAATCTAAAAGAAATCCCAGATCAAATGGTAGAATAACTCATCAATTATGTGAACCAAAATTATTATGATTCCAGTACACTTTTATTATAACAGCTAAATATTATTTTGGATGCAGCAAATGGATGGGAACTATGGAAAAATTATTTTACTTGCTAAACGTTATTTGTGAAACTGACGTTCTAGTTCATGTTCAGTCCGTTTTTCAAGCAACAAACTCGAGCATGATTTAAAACTGTAGCTTGTAAGTATATGTTGTACTGTGAAAAGCTTAGGCGTAGTCTACCGCATGACATCTTTAAAATGTCAGTATTTAATTCATAAGGAAAGACTGCAGCCTATACCATTTTATAAAATAGAAATTTATGAACTTGCTTAATCATTCCTAATATGAGAAATATAGAAATATACTTGGCTGTATATAGGAAATTTTCCTTTGCGGATCAAAGAATATACTGTAATCACGCTGGCTCTCAGGTTACGGGAGTGGCTATTCCTATCACAGTGATGATAATCTGCCACGTTATTCGCGTCATCAGCAAATGATATCGTCCTACCTTACAATCCAAAGTTTTATAACGTAGAAGAATTTCAGAAGAAGTTTTTTTACTGTAAATCCAGAATTGTAATGAATACAGGATCACTCGTGTTTCTCATCCAAACACAATCGGAAACCACTGGATTCCGTTGCTTGAGCATATCATTCAACACAGCTGCAAGGACATTCAGCACGTCCCTTTCTCCTTTCCGCGAATAAATATGATCTGTTGCCAGGACAAGAATGGAAACTATGATTTCGAGAGAATATATCCAAGGCAAAGGTCATCAACGTACAATATGATCACTAAATCCAATTCAGTAGCGCCTTTATTTGAAGGGCACCAGATTGCATTCAACGCTTTTAGTCATGTGATCCTGAATTGAATCCGTTTCAGAAATCAATTCGCACATGAAAGTAAAAGCCATCGATCTATAAGATTAGGCAAATATAATGCCTATTCAACTTGGCAATTGCTGGTCCCAAGCGCGGATGAGAAAGGACGAGGGTTTGAGACCGTGGCGAATTTTCCGAAAAACTTATCCACCTGCCGTTCGTGGTATTCATGTCATCGAAAATTACACCGGCTCGATCATCACCCGGGTTACTAAGAGCCGGTCAATGAGTAGCGGGACTGAGAGAAGCTGCTTAAAGTCACTGATCAGAACTGCCTCATTGTTTTCTGGAAAACAACGACATAGCAGCACAGCAAAGGCTGAAGGAGAACGACGGAATGGCGACGAAGGTACCATTCAGCAACGGAGTCGCTACCCGTTCTGAACGGAGGAGGCAGACAGCACGATTCAATTATAGCACGTCAGAAAATGTTCCAAGGGAACAACACGGACAGAGGGAGCTTACAGTCAGATATATTCTCACTCAGAGAAAAACAGCAAGAGTATGTTGATGATGCCGCAAGGTGCAACTCCACATAGTTCGACTCTCGACAAAGAAACGCCAAGGATCTGGAACCCTGAACCTCTGCGGGTGGACGCTATTCTACTCAGGTGTCGATATCACGATGCGCGCTCAGACCAGTGATGGTGTTCTGACAGAACCCAACCTGACTGACAGAATCATTGAAAGTACTCTTGTCAGAGGAAGACTGGCAATTCTCCATGTGATTCTACAACAGGCTTTAGCGTTGACCTTGTTACAGGTCTATGCGGCCGATTTATGCGGATAATATGAGTCCTTCCTTGAGGAAATAAAGTGTGCTCTGAACAAAGTGCCCAATACTATGTTCCTCAGTTCAATGGGCGACTTTAATGCGCATGTCGGTCCGTAGAAGAATGACTCTAGTGATTTCAGCAATGATCTTATGAAGTTACTACGGTATTGTGCAAACAACGGCTTGTCCATCATGAACGCCTTCATCAAGCATCGAAGGCACCATCACAATGCCTGACACAGTGAAGCTTGTGCATACAACTTGATGATCGATTTGATAATCGTATCATTTGAATG